TACTAAGCAACACTGCAATACATTTACCAGTGACTAGCAACCATTTTATCATGTGTGGAGCAGAGAATTGAAACACCAAACAATCTATTTGCACGCTGAGAGCAAAGCTAAACATAGTATTTGTTCAATTCGATGTAAAAAAAGATTCTGTGTAGCTCTCATCAGCTTTCAGCCACGTTTCCACACAGCAGTACGGCTCTGATTCTCAGTAACTTGCATAAAACTGAGCCACACAAGCTCAGAAGAGCAGAAAGCAGAGAGCCAAACATCAACGTTAAAAGCTAAAGACACACATGTCTTTATTTGGAGTAAAAGCACCAAACCTGAGTTTAAAATCTGCAAATTCCACTGACCTGAAACATGAATCCAACAACTTGTTGGTCTGTGTCCACTGGATCTGTTAGTAACCATAACAAACCTACAAGCCAACGGTTTATCGTGGCTGTGTTTTCCTTTGGAATCTTTTTTTTCCTCCAAAGGTCCAAAATTACTTACGCCAGCTTTAATCATGAGATTAAACAACAGTGAAAACTCCAATCAAAATGACATAAGCAAAATTAGACTTTAGAGATTTTGAGCAGCAGTTTCAGTGAATATTAAAACATCTCTAGCACCAGCTCTTCAGTGCACCTTTTGCTCTTTTGCTTTTGCTCGCTGCTTTGCTGTTTGTGTCATTTACAAGTAGCTTAAGTGGTCAGGAAAGAGGGGAGTGCCAGAAACTTGCACAGTAGGAGATAAGCTCCACTCATGTTGTCCTAATTCCTAAAAATCACCCACAGAGCTTGATAGAGTTCATAGATTACTTAATGCCCTGTTTAAATCTTAAAATAGAAACCCAGTGATGCATTAAGCAAATGCAGTCAGTTTGCAACATGCAACTTCAACCCACCCCCAAAACCAAACCTACAAATGTAAGAGGAAATCCATCCTGTGTGTGAGATCATGCTCGAGGAATGTCAGAGGTAAAGCAAGGCCAGTCTGATGCATAGGATGTCTTAGGAATACTTTCTAGTGCAGACTGAACTCAGCACGGAGACTTCTAGAAGAGAGACTTTCTGCCTGCCGAGGCGAGGCCACATTTCACCCCAGCTGGGCACCAAAAATACCTGTCCTCACACTTTATGCGAACACCATAAAACACCCTTTGTACTTGCTGGGCTGTTAACCTCTCAGTGCTGCATTTCTTTGCACTCTCGCTTCTATCTCTGAGACATAATGCCAGCTGCCCCTTTTCCACAGAGGATGGTGATAAGCACAATCGACATTTCAGCACATCATAATTATATCAGACAATCTGAGAGTTTAGTAAGTGTGGCACATTAAGGAAACAGCAGGAAAGACATGTGTGGATACAAAAGGGAATAACAATGGGGCTTTACAAAGACCACCGCTACACAGCCGTGTTTTTTTTTAGGCTGCTTAGCCCTTACAGACTGGACAAATGTCTACTGCCATCACACAAATTGAATGCACAAATCCTTTATTATACTTAAAAAAGCTCCTTAGTGAAAAGATTGCTGCTAAAAACTACCATAAAGTTTAAACAATCAAAGGAAAGTATATGGAAGTGAGTGGAGCTTGTTTTTTTTAGTCACAAACTGGCAATTTAGATCTGCAATGTATTGAACTCCACCCATCTGGAATACAAATGTTTGTAAATGCAATGTCGAGTCAGCATGCAGGAATGACGGATGACTCCAAAGGAAGGCGTCCCCGGTCTCATCTGGTGACCAGTCGCTGACCTGCTCCAACAGCTGGAGGTGTCAGCTTTTTTGGAAAGGTTTTCTCATTCATACTCAGCTTACTGCTCTAATGGCGTATTTGGCTGCGGTGAACGGAGGAAATTATATGAATTTATCCGGGGAGAGCATAACCACCTAACTGCGAAGGAGGACTCCCTGTTTATACTCGACTGCCAAAAGGAAAAGGGTGTCAAGGAGGCTAAATGCCAGATATAGAAAAACTGAGATAAGGCTATTTCTCAGGCAGCAGAATGAGAAGACAAAGAGTAATGCCTAACTTCCTGTTGTCTAGAAATAACATTAAAATATCAATATCAACAGGCTGACATTAACTTCAGGAAGTGGAAAAGCCAACAACATGTATACAAATCACCACAGTGAATCGAAATCGTCGGTTTGCATATTGTGCAAGATTGGGTGCAGATTGTTTAAAAGAAGTGTGCTGCGAAATGTTGTTTTGACACGATACGAGGATGTTTTTGATCTACTCAGTGTGGTTTTTACTGAAATTCCAGTGTGAGATAAGGCAAAGCATAAATAGCCTGACTTTAGATAGCAAGAATCCATACTAAGCATGTTTAAAATACCAGGAGTGGTGTGCATTCAAGGGAGGACAGTAAGTCATGTACACCAAATTATTTATTTATTGTTTATTATTTTTTGCACTCCCAGAGGAACAAAGCGGCTTTTTGTTTTAATATATTTACTGTTCCTGCTCAAACTATTATCAAGGGTATCTATTTGAATTGAAAGACTCTATTGATTTAAATCAGTCTTAACAATTAAGTCTGATATCCTTTACTTTCTTACTTTCAGCTAATCTCAAAGATCTACAAAACAAACAATGTACTGCTCAGTCCAAGGACTTTCTGACTTCCTCAGTGTGTCAACATCCACTACTTCTTCAAGCTGAAAGCAGGATTCTTAAAACCCACTGACAAATATTTATTTTAATTTCTTTTTTAAAAAGGCTCCACAATGTCCGACGGCAACGCACGAGCATTTAGAGACAGGATATGGACCGAGTCAGAATAAAACAGTCCGAGCACTCATTAAGGAACATGTCAACTAGAATAGCAGTGTTTCACTAATGTGTTATTAATAGTGTCTGAGTAACAATGGGCTGGCAAACAGATAAAAACTAGAACATGCTAAGCTGCACACACAATATTTGATAGCAGAACCAGTTCAACTAACCACCAAGAAGGTTGGCTGAGGCCTTTCTGTGTAATTTGCCCGTCACTCCGGGAACTCCAGCTTCCTCCCACAAAGACTATCATGTTAGGCTAACTGGCTAAAACGTGAATGGTTTCCTGTCTCTCTGTTGGCCCTGCGACAGATTGGCGACCTGTCTAGGGGGTACCTAACCTCGTGTCCTTTTTTAGAAGCTGGGACAGACTCAAGAGCCCGTGAATCCGAGCTGGATAAGCGGAATTAAATTAATAAATCGACGGCAGTTCACTTTGACTTGATTTATTATAACCAAAAATATATAAAAAATATAAAAAGACTTATTATTTAAAGCTGGTCATTGTGCTTTTCTGCATGTTACATATCTGTGGGTTTTTACACCGTGCTACCAATTTGATATTCATTCAGTAAAATGTTCTCTTTTCTTTCTCTTGTGATTCATACATCTCTTCCAGAATTTAGTCACGCTAACTCTGGATGTCAAAGCTAAAGCGTATCTTATTTGTCTTGAGTTAATCTGCTGTGTGAGTGAATAGATTGTCAGTTAAAATGCAGCTGATTTCTAAAAAGTCATGTATTTGTGTTCTTTACTGCAATAATCTGTATTTCTTGCTTTACAGCAGAAGGTTTGGGCTACAGAAACTTTAACATCTGGCTGGTTACGCTACAGTTTTTTGTATCATGGACTCTGGGTCTTGGCCGCAGGGTTTCAGGTTTATGGGTTCTTGATTCTTTTGGAGATACGAATCATGTGTTTTGAGTTTTGTATTTTTCTTATAACAACATTTCCTGGTTGGTGTCTGTTTATTCATATTCTCAGATTTCAGTTTCAAATTTAGGTTGTTCTTGGTTAGAATTTGTTTTATATTTAATTCCTTGAATTTCCTGGTATTCCCGCCTCCCTTCTATTTCCGTGTCATGCTTAATCTCTGCTGCCGTTATCTCTTCCTGTTTTATTTTAGTTATTGTTTTTCTCTGTGTCTTGAGTGATGTTTTACTTCCTTTGTCTCGGGTTCTGGATTAGTTACAGCTGTCCTCCCACCTGTTATCTCTCCCCACATTATCTGTTTCTGAGTCTTCTCTTGTCCTTTGTATTGTCGTCCCTCATGGCCGTGTGTCTCCCTAGCCTGTTTTCCTAAAGATCCCTGGCGTTCAGATACCCAGCTCCTGCCATGCAGATGTTTGGACTTTTGTATTATTGTGAGCTAACAGCATTAAAGCTGATTTTTAAGTTCACTCCTGTTTCTCAAGTCCTAGCACACAATCTGCCTTTTACACAGCAAATCCTTGACGTTTACTGTCACACAACAACTTGCTCTGGCTAGAGAGAAAGTTGCTGTTTTCACTGTTTTTACTGGATTGTTTCATTTTTTACACAAAATAATAATAATGAAAGTTTATTTGTATAGCACTTTCAAAGCATGCGTTTCAAAGTGCTTCCACTGAATGAAAAATACAAATTTATATAAAATAACTGGACAGAATTTATGGTGTCACTCCAGGGTTTGATCTGCCAAAAAAACTGGAGCCCCTGAGACTTTAGGAATAAGGACTTCCTTGACAGAATATTTAGTCTACCCTCTCTGAGAGGTGCCGTGTGTTTTTGCCTGAGGCGATAAGGTTCGTTCTACCTTGTGAGAAAATTGAGCCGCTTCCATTAGAGAGAACAAGTCATTATAACATAAGGTCAGGGTCTGTCCCGTCTAGACACGTTCATATTTTACAGTTTGATACAGAGTTCCATGAGAAACCCAAGGCCAGCTATTAACACCTTCCCAACACTGAGTCAGGAACTTACAATGTTTGCTTTACTGGCACCAAGTATCCTTTTTCTCTGCATTGCCATATGGCACAAGGAAGCTAATTACACTGAGGAATGTGTCGGATCCATAAATCTTCATGATGTGACAAAATGCAATAAGAATGAAGGTATCTCAAAAAAAAAAAACTGAATTACTATTCAGAGCGAAGTGTGCTCTCTCCTGCAAATGGTGCGTGTCTTCACTTAGTATTTTGGAAGGAAATCTTGCCTCAGGCTGTGAAAAAGCTACAACTTTCTCTGGCGATATACAACTTTGTGACCTTGCATCAGGGGCTGGTCAGAGTGCAGGTATACAAGGGGACGTGAGACTGATGGGACACACGTGTGCACATAGTCGGTCATGAACAGGAAGAGAATCCGCCTTATCTGGTCTTTCCCACCCCCCAAAAAACATCCATTCTGTGCAAGTAAATCATGGTTAATGTCTTTACAGTCAGGTTTAACCTCATTTATATTTCTGCTGTACGCAATAACTCCAGCAGCTACGTGCAGCTGCAGGAGCACAGAGGCTACATCACAGCTCGTATGTGTACACCTCTTTAAAAAGTGTAATCAGACACTGGAGCTATTTTGGCTATGTGGGAATGAAAAAAGTCTATGATTGATCAGAGAGAACTTTATGTTCTCTAGGCCTGCGACTGAAGCCCTAAAAACTCAGATACAAACATTTGATTCAACTTGACATCTTAGGCTCATTAAATTCAAAGCATTTGAAAGTAATGCAGGTAATTTGCATTTTTAAAGCAGGCTGGACATTTTTTCAACGTGCATGATTTAAAACACAGTATTTGTGGTAATCTCAGAAAAGAAATATTTACAGGGTAAATAATCAAAGTGCAACATGACCAAATTAAACCAAATCATCTAAGTAATACTACTGGTTCTACCGTTAGGTTACCCACACAAGTGTAAACCAGGGTTAAGCTCTTACAGGTTAGAAAAAGATGGTGTTTTTGTTTACCATATTTGATTTCCCAGTGAATACAACCAAGGCAATAAGTTCCCTGCAAAAGACATTTGATCCAATAAAAATATGATTTTTATAGAAAAATACCCTTAAATGCTCTGCCAGTGCCAATGTCTTAACCCAGAGGTAAGCTGCCGACCTCTGCCCTATCCAGATCTACACCAGAAATTAATGAGCTCTACTTTTACCCATACTCCACCGCTCTACCAAGTTTCACGAACTCCACCTTGCTAGTTTTCATGTAATCGTGCAAAGAAACAAACTGCAACAGTCACATACCTCTGCCTTGACTCACACTTTGGCAGAAAATGATTTTAAAGGGTTTAATTCAGCTTTATTAGTCTATCCCCTTTTCTAAAAACGAATAAGGTGCTTCCTGCATGTCTTTTATAAATGTTTCCAGAAGGCAAGAACAACAAAAGACCACTCAATCAATAAACTCCATTCCTGCTTCTTGGATTCTTGACCCGTGAGGGATTTTTTTGATTTCTGTATACAGAACAAACGCCGCTACTCTTAGAGCGTTTACAACAATGGCTGCAGTGTACTCACAGTTGAAGTTGGAGGCGATGGAGTTCCCGGCCACGAGGCTGTGGATGGTAATCTGATAGATGATGTGGAGTAGCAGGAAGGACATACTGGTGAAGCAGAGCGACTGGAGGAGACGCCCTGTGTGGCCTAACAGAGGAGAACAGCCACAGTGAGTTCAACAGGGCTCAGTTTAAAGATTCCCACATGTTCATTCATCCACTGAAACACAGAAAAGTCTATGCGCTGGTTTGTAGATACTGAGAACTTTATCAAACACAAAAGTAAAATTTTGCTTCTTTTTGAGTTTGAGTGACATATTTAAAAAGTGCCATTTCGTGTAGTTTTCTTAGGACTTCAGTTTAGGACTGAATGGATTTGAAAACAGACAGCTGTTTCTCATAGAAAAAGTCAGCGCCTGGAGTCTGGAGCTGTTTTGAATAAATTGGTAAAGAAGATGAGGGTGACTGGGACAGCACCCAAGAGGGATTTTCAGTGGATCACAATACATATCCTGGTCAAGAGCTGGTAACGTTACTATTGAGCAAAGCTAATTTCTACTGACAAGTCAAATAAACATTTTGGTGGACCACAGGACCTCTAAGTCGATAAGTTACCATCTATAAGCTTTTGAACTTAATTCTGCTCTTCAGCTTCAGTGTCTGTTGGTGTTCACAGTTAAGGACTTGGCTGTTGGAGGCCATGAACATGAAGGCGTTGACTGTGAAGAATACAGCTGTCGGTGGATGACTGATCCTGGGAGGGTGGAAGAGATCGGGCAGGGGAGCTGCCACAGCTGTTCAACACATGGCCACTTTATGGTGCACCTACAGGTATTTGGGATAATTTCAGGAGCTGTTATGGTCAAAATTCTCAGCAGCAGGTTTCCCACTAATTATGAAAATGAAAATCTTGATCAAGAGAAGGCGAATGAAGCTGGATCAGGCTCTCGTTCTTTGATTAATAAATAACAGTAATGTCTTGCGCTGGGCTATCAACAAAGTTTTATCAAATAGTTTTGCTTATCTGCACAGTTTGGTTCTTCACTGGGCAACATCCCCATCTCATTAAATTTACTGCATCCTTGTGGGGGAATGCACAGCAGTTTTACTACAGTGGGGTAATATCCTGGCTGAGGTAAGGCGCTACTGCTGAGCCTCGGGCCGCTGAGGGCTAACCTTATCAAACGTGTGCAACAACACATCACGTTGAACTTCTCGCAGTAAACGTTGAAGCAAAAACAATTTGTGCTAATTTCCCTTTGCAATTCCCAATGCTTTCACAATGGGGGAAAAGAATGCTTGTAAATGTGAGGTATGAGGAGTTTTTGCGAGCTTCTGCATCCAAACTGGTACTAAGGCTCGGGACATTGCAACTGGTTTGGCTTTACCCCCTGTTTTTCCTATTTGTAATAGAACATTTTTGCTGCCTGACGGCCATCTGACTTGTTTGCCAATGCTCATCTTGAAAAAGTAATCTACGTCACTTTTTCAGTTTCAAAATTCTGTCCCAAGAGCACTTTTTTCCCCCCCTTTCAAAACAGAGGCCATTGTTTGGTTTTAACGGTTCCTTCTTTTTCCTAAACAGTCAAAGAACTTCATCCATCTGACAGCGTTAAGACCTGACAAAACACGCTGTCCTGCCAAATCACAGTTTCAGAAAAGCCTAATTAAGTCTTTTAAAGGCCAGTTCAATTTATGGGGAAGCCTGCTGTCCGACTTAACAATAAGAGAAAAAGCATCTCAGGTCGTTAAAAAGCATGAAAGCATGACAAAAAGCCAAATTAGAAGTCTGCAAGCTAAAACATAAACCTGATAACCATATAACCCATAACATCAAATATTTCTGTGAAGTCATGTAAGACAGCTAAGCTTGTAACACCTACTGCTAAAGCTCTCGCAATGCTTGTTGCTCTTTTAAAAGCAACAGCTTAGATTTTGTTCACCTCCACTGGGAATGCCTTCAAAGGTACATCGAGCTAAATACTGCAATTACGGCATTAGAGAGTAAATCACAAAAACAACAACAACAACAAGTTGCATAAAATATTGTCTCTGTGCTCACGTATCCTCGGGCACACAGCCGCGCTGCAGCTTTTCAAAGCGAAACGCACCTAATGAATTATTCATGTCAAACATTTGTTTTAAATTAACTTAACAGATTTAACTGCTGCATGTCCTCGAAGATGAAAAGACTGAATGAAACAGACCATCAAAACAAAGCAGTGAATTTAGCTCAATCTATTCACCTAATTCCCTCTAAAATGATTTTGAACATGTGAGTCTTTACTGCAAAATAAGATGCTTTTTATAAGTTTGCGCTGCCTGTGTCTAATCGGTGCTTAGTGTCAAAAGCTGATTTGTAACATATGAATTAACAGGAATGTTACTAGAAATTATGATTATCTGGTAACAATATAAACAGAGATCAAATGAATTTGATTAAATGTTTCCATGGTGATTATTTTAAGCCAATGTGCATCTTAAAGGTACTGAATTGGACTGTACATGGTAGAAATATGAGACGCTTCTCCCCTTCAACTTTCTAAACAATATCTACCTACAATCAGCTGTTTGTGCAATGACAACATCGTAATTGTTCCAGCTGTTTTGTACACAGTGTATTATCCTGTTATTAAAGTCCTCCTGCCATAACTTCCTCATAGTGAGCCTGTCAGCCTGCAGCCCCCTCCCTGATGACAGACAGCTGAGGCAGACAGATGGGACGCATGTCCTGGCAGGTTGCACTGGAAGGATATCTCATACTTTCTGACGCCGATGACTTCACTCCTCTCCTGTTTTGGATACTCTGACAATGCGCAGTGAAAGGTCACATAAACATAAGCTACTAAAAATTTAATCCACTTTCCTTTAAGGGTAAACAAAAGAACTGGCATTTTGTTTTGTGACGAGTCGGGGTGGCGGTCTACCAACATTTTTTAATAGTAGTTTGAATGACCTTTTAATCAGCACGTCATCGCCCCTTGTCACGTACGTGTGACGTTGTGACATCTATACGTTTTTGTGGATTGGTTTTAGTTTTTTAGTTTAGTAGTTCAGCTACAAAAAATTATACTACGAAGTAAGAAAAACTGAATTGTTTCAATGGGTCTGAAGAGCTTTTTATAAGCCACAGATTTTTTAGCAGCTGGTAATTATGCCTGGAAATGCCTCTCTAGGGAAACTCGAAGTTACTGCGCAGGACTGCCGAAATAATTAACATTGATTGATTATAAGAAAAGAAAACATACCAATTATTGTTAATAATCAAATCAAACAACAATAAAATACATTTACATTTATTCTAGTGTTTATTTCTTTTTCAGTGCTTATTATTAGTATTTTTTTTTATACCAGAGTGAAGTTGTTTGCACTCTAAACCTGTTGAATATGTTCTGAAGTTCATAAAATCTGAATCTGAGAAGTTAACCAATGGCAGCAACAATCCTCCAGCTTAAATGATGCTCAGTTGGTACTAAGGGACCCACTGCGCGCCAAGAAAATACCCCCCGCACCATTACACCACCAGCAGCAGCCTGAACTGCTGATTCAAGGCAGGGTGGAGCAACGCTTTAATGGTGTTCACACCAAATTCTCACAGTCGAAGCAGAAAGACTGACTCATCAGACAAGGCAACAGCTTTCCAAACTTTTATTGTATAATTTTGGTGAGCACGTGCGAAATGCATCCTCTCCGGGCTGCTGCCATGTGACTGGCTAATCAGATTTGTGTTAATGAGCACTTGGTGAGATGTACCTAATGAACTGGCCAGTTCCATACCTCAATTGGGAAATTACCTGGGTGAAGATTAGTCTTTTGGGTTTGGTACTTTTGACAAAAGTGAGTTGTTTAGACATTAAATGTGAATAATCAGATGTAAAATTAAATATTAATTTCAGCCTTATTAGTAACAGGAATACTTTGTATATTTTTTGTTTTTTGAAGCACGCAGTTTAAGAATATTTATATAGAATATAGATATTAAAACACCCATTAAGGCAGGAAAATATGACAAAAACGTAACAACAATAATGTCCGTCAGTCTAATTTATCTATAACAGCGTTTATGTGATTTTTGGGGGCAATTTTACTTTGGCCAGTGTTTGCAAAAGCTAGACAAAAAAAAAATCTGTTACACAAATAGTAACAGCATTATTATGAGTATTGTCGACACGTTATCGATATATTATTTTTTAAATATCATTATCATTATCATTAATGTATATCCTGTCATGACTGTTGAACGACTCTTGAAATCAGCAGCTATCAGCTTCATGAACGTTCAGCTTTACTAGAAGTCTCTTTAACTATTGATGAGACTGTAAGTGGTCCACTTTCTCCTCTCCCGCACCTCCTCTCTCTCTCTTCCTCCTTTACTTCCCGATTGTTATTTCAGCTGGAGACGAGCAGAGACGAACCTCGGACTGGACGTCGCTCCCTCAGACAAAATAGGTTTATGTATTATTAAACACTACATGTGGTCTCCTGCAGAAGCCTGTATTATTAGAGGTCTGGGAGGTGTGCTGTTTAGTGTTTTGTGGTGGATGAAGTGCATAAAAGCGAGGCTGAAATCCCACATTCATCACCCGTAAGGAGAACAGTCACCTCAGTCACTTCTCATAAACCGCAGAGGTCCACCGTGATTCATATTTCTTCAGAGGATGAATGGATTCTAAATAGCTGTCAGAAATCATATGGAAGCTTGTTTACCGGCTGTATACTTCCTGCGTTTTTATCTAAACCAAAACACCAGAAAGGTTAAAGGTCACCTCCACCTTCCAATTGGATGAATTAATGAACATCACAGACGCACGCAGATCGTGATGTTATGGCCTGGAAAGAGAAACTTCTCAGTTTCTGTTCTGCAAATAAAATGGTTAGCCTTATCAAAACCAGTCCTCATCCCAAGTTTCTTTTTCTTTTCTTCTCTAAGAGATATTTTACAAGCTCTTTTATGTTTGTCTTCTCGACAGAACAACTCGCGTGTTTAGTTTTGTATCATTTATATGGGTATTATATGAGCAAATAAACTAAACCTGAGCCTAAAATGGCAATTTTCATGAAGAGCTCCTTAGATGTGGTCCTAATGGATCACATCTTTCTATCTCAGATCTGGCCGGTCGCAGATCATTTTTATTATTACAGATGGACTCATGCCTGCGCTAACCAATATTACCTTTCATGGACTGAGCTATGTGCCAAATCCATGCTCATCTTAAGGAAATTCAACTCTCCTGCAGAAGGGCTGGTTTGTATTATAGAGAACAACAAGTCAATTCAAACTCTGGGAAACAGTCAAGATTCTTGAGGTGATGGCAAAGGCACTGAAACTACACAGCTTCAGAGGGGCACTGTAGAGCTTACCTTGCATTGTTGTGCTTGTAGGCTCTGGGAAGAGTGGAATAAGCAGGAGATAGATGAGGTAGACGAAGGACAGGACATTGTACCTGAACAGGCAAGCTGCAGGGACAAAGACAGAAAATTGACCAGCTCAATAATGTGTTTACAGCTTCGTTTGCATTACATAACGTGTAGGAGTAAATAAAGTGCAGAAACTGGCAGCAGTCAGATCATCACTGAACAGATATTTGAGACAAACATGTGGCGAGAATCATTAAAATGTTCCTGCTGGCTCATAGTAGTAAAACATCAAACATTCCTCTAACTAAACTTCATACTCACAAACCTCATTATCTGTTCATCTGGCCCGCATCACTAAACCAGCCTGTGCTTAAGTCAGTCAATGAACTGGCGTTTGTTTTGAAGAACAGTAAAGACCTGATAGTCCTCGGATGTGAAGAGGGACAATTAGCTGACTGAGCAGCCTGCGGTTATATCTGCCTCCATGCCGTAAAATGCCTCACTAAGCGCAGCTTTATATCACGTGTGCAGATTTCAGAGTTTTGCAGGGACGTTATTGAAACCAGATCATTTTTTTTAGGATTAAACTCTACAAAATGAAATCTTTGAATGTTTTGCAGCAGTGCGGCGAGCGTCACGCACCAGATGCCCTTAAAATACTCGATGTACCTCGGAGATTTCAAAACAGGAAAATAACGTCTGGTTGCCAAAACTTTAAATGAATCACAGCCATGTGGCTGGAGCATGAAGAGTGTGTAATCCCATGACAAAAGTCTGAAAGTACAGTGTTTGATTTTTAACCAAAACACAAAATGAAGGTTAATTAATTCTGCTGTAAAATTATTACATTTTTTTTTTTTATTCCAGCTCCAATTTCATGTCATTTATCTTTTAACAAAAGTTTAAATCAGGACAGAATGAAAGACCAGGGCTGGCTTTTATTCAGTTTATTGTAGCAGTAAAACACATAAATGTGAAGCTGTTAGCTACTTTTTAGCCCCTTAGCGCTTCAACAGTAATTACTTGGCAACTACTGGAAATAAAACGACTGTTTTGGCGAAACGTTCACTGGTTGCAGTTTCTCAAATATTCAGATTTTCCCCATTTTTCACCTATCAAAGAAATAAGGTGTTTATCACTGGCTTACACATTTTCCCTTTCACAATAATATGAATTAATTTACAATAAAAAATACAACCTGCAGTCACGCTTCCACTATGAATTTAGTCAAACTTCACTTTAGAACACTGTTTCAGTATTTAGGATGTAAAACCACACATAACACTGGCTTATGTAACACCTTCCCAGCATTACACACACAAACACATACACACGCCCCATCCAGGCACATGAAGAAGGTCCTTTTGGTTTCATGATGTCTTAAAAAGCTTGAGTGCAAACATGACTTCCAAAAACCATTAATTGATGCATTGATCCATGATGCTCCTCATTTCCTGAAGCAGGCTGACCATCTGCACTGACAAGTTCATTTTTTAACTATTTAAGCAGCTCTGCTGTCCAAATAAAGTGACTCACACTCCCAGACGTGTATACTCTCTGCTCGGTTACTCTGCTCTGTGACATCTGCTTAATATTTCAAGTTTTTCTTAGTTTGTGCAAAACGAATGTAATAAACTGCATAGCTGCTTATATTTTGTTGAACCTTTTTAGGTCAGGGGAAGGGAGTCGGGGAAGAAAGTACACAGTGACTTAGTATAAAATGTGGACACACAGTCTGACCTCCTAAGTTTCTCATTGCGGTTATATCAACAAGCTCAGAGTTTACAACCTGGTCGGCCGCACGAGTTATCGTCTCAGTCACAGACATCGGCAGCTACTGCTCTTGAACTACTGAAAAATTACATTTAAATGCTGAAAATGGTGCTTTTATTTATCTTTGCACGCTCAATGGACCCATTCATTGACATTTGACTTGGCTCTGACTTTTCCCTTGCTGAAGCTGTGAAGTAAGAGCACCTTCAGGTTTTCTCACTGCTCAGATGCAGACCAGCGAAAACTAACAAAAGTTAATAAAAGTTGTTGGGGCTGTCATCTTTGGGCAAATTGCAAACATCTGGGATTCGTTTCAAGTACGCATGAATGCTTGGCCTGCCACACGCCGAAATCACAAATATAATGACATAAATAGAGCACTATCATTATTGATCTTTTTTCTTTTCTTTTTCAAAGCTTTTTAGCAAGTAGGCGAGGGTTTTTCAGCCTAAGCCTCTCAGGTGATTGAGGAGGGAATGACTCACAATCTATTTTTCATCTTACACTGTTTTAATCCACCCACTTGAATTTTTATCCACATTAAATGTGGCATTAAACACTTTCTAAACCTGCAAATTTTCATGCTAACCCCATTAATCGTCTGCTCTGAGCTTTAAGTCTAAATTGGTCTCTAACCATATTTGACGTACAGATAATCCAAATGTATCTATATGGCTCTGCTCCCACTGCTAGCCTGCAGACGCTTGACCGCAGCCTTCCTGACCATTTGCCTTTGCTGCATGACTCACCATCAGAAGATTTTAACACAGGGAATGAAAATAAACTGCCCTTCTTTTGAGACATCGGATTACTGCAAAAGTCCCCATTCATGGTTGAATCGGGCTTTTGTCTCTTCCAGTTAAACCTACTATTACAAACACACAAAGCCTAAACACAGGCGAGCCAACCCAGAATTTTGCAACCAACTAATTTCACAGTTTTAGGCCTCATAAATGATGAAACGTGGCAGGAGATAAGACTGCGCAGTGCCAAGCGAAGCCAAGCACTGGGAGATAAAGGAGTAAAATGAAGCCGTTCAGAAGAAAGTCATGAACGAGATACCACATCAGCTGTTTTCATCTGAGCATTAAACTAAAAACTTGTGTCTATTATGATACCATGACAGATATCCACAATGCACTTGTACTACTTTCCAGATAAAATATGTTCAGAGAGCAAACGATTAATCTGGGCTTCAAATTAAACAGCGATCTTCATTATTAAACAACATTTTATTTCCTTCACTATTTGTTTGAGCTGTTGGCAAATTGTGATGGGTCAAAGCTTTAACAGGTTAAAGTGATAACTTTACTGTAGATGGATTCTTTTTTTCTCAGCTCAAACCCAAATATGTTCCATTTACTATCAGAGAAAATAAGGATATCATCTGTTTAGTTTAGTGTCAGATATTCTCATATGAGAAGCAGAGAAGGTTTTAAGGCCTCTTTTCATATAAATTTAACTGCTTCAGACTTTGAGCAAAGCACCAAGAACATCTGAACTTCATGCAGTCAGCTTTTTTTCTATCATATGTGATATTTTTTATTTGGGTGATCAATTTAAAAACTATTTCAATTCAAACATTCATACACTGAACTATCGTGCAGAGTTCAACTGCTGAAGAATTTGCCTGATGTCTGATTCCTTTCTCTTTAATGGTTTCTGATAATAATAAAATTATTGCTTAATTCTCTCCAGCCTGTTTTTACCCATGAGAGAAAGCATTAATATGTCTTTGCTTTCCACAAAGAATTTGCTCTGTATCTGGGATTTCACCTTATTTGGGCAATCTTCTAACTAAACATTTTAGTTTTATGAATATTATAGTTTTGAAATTGATGTTTAGCCTAAACAGAACACTTTTTGCCACCTTGTCAAAGATTCTTAGTCAACATATCTGATCAAACAGCAGAGCATCTTCGTATCAAAATACCACCTAAAGCATTGTGGTTCTAGCGATGGCCACTGCAGCATCTGCAAGATGCACAACCCAGCTGACTAGCTGCTCCCTCTTTACGGTCACACCGCAGGTTCGATATCAGATCAGACATTTGGAAAAGTGCGTGCTCACAATTAAGTCCGCACTCCAAACTCTGCCAGTAAACACATAAACAGCAGCCTGTTTGATCAGCAAAACTCGAGCTGTGTGCAGACGTGTGTGTTTGTTTGTGTATGTGTGTGTGTGTGTGTGTGTGTGTGGTGGTTTAGGGGATTGTGTACACATGGGCCCAGCAGTTCTGCCGGATTCAATAGAGGTGCTGTCAGATGGCCAACAGGAAACACAGACTATGCAACGTCAGTAGGCAAGTCTTTCACTAGGACATGAGAAAAGTGTCAGTCTCTGCATATAACGCACAACTAAACATATAGTGCAACTGTTATGTAGGTGTTTGGGGTAAGATAACATCTGCTGCGGTGCAGTTCACTTCCTCTCAGTTTATTTGGCAGTGAAAAGCCAGAAAATTTACTTTTATATTTTATATCCCAAAGACAAAAACCAATACTGTCTGTCTGCTGATAGCATTTGGTTTCATGTCTTATTTATGGCAAGGGCTTTAGTTCTCAAAAAGGAAAGAAAATCAGCTGATCAGGTGACTCTGATGACCAAAAACAGCATCTGTCATCGCTGATGCTGTCTGTTTCTATACGTTCCCTTCTTTCCACTTTACATTTCCTCCATCCTGACAGTTAATGATGTGTACAGGCGTAGCGAACGCTCATTTGCACTTTGAAAAAACATAAAATATTAAGAGGTATGTTTACGATAAAAGGGAAGGCAAATATTCTCTCCCTCAGAACCGCATTATTAATTCATACTGTTAAAACGACTTTCCACGAATTAATGGAGACAATGCATGGACTCACGATTGCTTTTGGAAATAAAAGGGGCATCAGGCTGTCAAATGATGCATTATAGTGGTACTGAGTGGGGCTTATCTATAGAAAGCATGCTGTTAGCTTTAAAAGTACCCCGCCCTCATAAGTCTTACACAGACACCACATTGGAACCTCAAAGGCAGTTAGACACTAATCACTTTTCGCTTGTGGCCTACCACAGGATTACAACTGAAAACGCAAAGTAAAGTGCATTTAATTCAAGGAGTCTGCATCCAAGGTGAGACTATGCCTCCAAATCATCTCCACAAAATGCAAATAACCATCGAACAATATGTCACCTTCAGTGAAATTCATCAGCTTTTCTAGGCAGATTAATCCTGCAAAAAGTCACAAAATAAAAAACTCCAAAGTTTGACGGCATGAGTCATCGTCCACATCTGCATAGCAAAGAAGTGAATCAACACGGCCACAGCTTCTTCCTTGGAACAGAACACTTTTCTCAACAAAGTAACAAATTCAGTAAACAACAAAACGAGGAAGCACAGCTGACTACAACTCTGAGGAATGTGGAACAGCTGAAGACGTGCAGCTCAAACACTGTCATCGAAACGTAAATGATAATGAATAACAATCACACTGTCAGCAGCCAAACAGTTCAATTACAACACTGATGATTCACTAATATTAAAGGAAAACTCAGAAACCACAGTGAAAAACAAGGACACGAATTACCAATAATGCAAAGGCTGTGTATTTAGTGTTGCAATACATGTTTCATTTTCAGACACGAAAAAAATCAGATTGAAAGGAAATAATAAACTAAGACTTTGATGCTGTGATTCTGTATTTAGATATAAATAAACATACACCATTTAATTCACATCAGTTCATTTTCACCATCAGACTTTTGTACCTGAAACACAGACACCATGCCTTTGGTGTGACTCTGCAGTCACTGCTGCCGGCTGTGTTTCCTTCATTACCTCCAATAAAAGGTGACAGGTGGAGGACATTGCTGGTAAATGACGGCTCTGCTTTGTAATCTGTGTTTAATAGCTGGTGCATGACTCTGTGCAGTCTGTCGTTTTTCGTTTGGATTCACTTTTAGAGGAAAAGACCTCGGCAGTGATGAAAGGTGATCTGTGACCTCCATCACTGTGAGGTCAATCACAAATCATATAAAAAAAAAATCAATGACATTTTCCCACAAACATAAATATGAAAGCTTCTCTCAGTGTCCTGAACAAATATACTGGAACTGCGCTCTAATATATATGAGGCTTTGAATTAATGTCACAACTGATTTATATCAGTGTAGGAAGCCGAGACAACGCAAACTAGAGCACAGTTATTAATTAACATTAAATTTAAAGGTACAAGCACAGCACAGGGTGGGATCAGTAAATAAGCTTTATAGATATTATTAGTTTAATTACACATCCTTACTTACCATAGCCAATGACACAAAAGGCCAACAAAGATGTAAAAATTGGGTATTAGAGAGAAAACTCACCAGCTGCAAGACATACTGGGAGCAGTAACCTGAAGACCAACCCGCACACCACTTCAGAGGCCATGGCTCGGGGCAGGCCGTGTTGAATCCAGGTAAAAGAAGCCGAGAACTGTCTCTCTAAGGGTTCTCTTGCATCCCAAACTCCTGCGCTCTGTCAAATCCCAGCTGGCTGCTCCAGACGGCCACATCGGCTCTCCCCTGGTGACACCTGGACTCTGGTTATTCCACAGTGAGACACTGCGCATTCACCAAGGTTCGCCTCATCAGCTCCGTCGCCAGAAAATAGTATCACCATGATAGTTTAGTGGCTCAAATGCTGTAAAGTCATGTTGACGCTGCACAAGCTGAGCAGCGGACTCAGGTGCGCAAACAGCTGCGCTGGCACGGCGCGTAAAAAAGCCGGACAAAGGAGCCAACAAGTCCTCAAGTCCAATTAAACCCCTTTCAATGCTAAACCACTTTAATCCTTAACGGATTACATAGTCTGTGTATACTTCTTAACAGAGGAGGAATGAAAGAAGACCAAAGTATAACCGGATAACGCTACTCTTCTTCCTTAGCCCCCGTGGTGAAATTTGACTTTCTGACTTCTGGTCCGGATTGTGTTCGCCAACAGGAGGCTACGGGACAAGCCTGAGATTGGCGTCGTGTTCAACCAATCAGAAGTGCGCCATTGGTAGCTGATCCAGCCCCCTGCGATAATTGGAAGCAAGAGGTGGGACGCGGAGATGGATGAAAATACCACAAGAATGAAACGATAACGTGAAACACACGCAGCCTTTTATTAATTCTATAATTGAATTATATTAGTGCATATTTTGCTATTTAATCACAATTTTTAAAGTAATAAACACCAGATAAACACGGCCACGTCGAGGAGGATTTTATGAATTTCAGGGGGGAGACTTTTCATTATGACCTGATCTCTTCAGGTCCAACTGTTTATCGGAGAGAAACAGCGACGCCTACCGGTGCAGTATAACCACTCAAGTCTAATCCAGTTAACCACAAAAACAGGCCTGCGCTGTTTGTGCTTGCAGGCAGGAAAATTAATTTTACCGAAATGTTTTCAGTTCTCGGACAAGTTCTAAACAATGTAAGAAAACATCTTCTCTAGTAACACGTAATTTAATTGCTGAGCGGGTAAACAAACATGATTTAAAGCTCAGTTTGAAGCCTCAGGATGCTTCTTTGAATTACCAAATATTCAAACAAAAGGTTGGAAGCATATTTGCTGTTTAAATAGGATTTTGTGCAGATGCAGCTGCAGAGGTCGCCCTGTCAGATGGGTGACCCCTGTTCTTCACCTAAACTCATCAGCTTAAAATACATTTTATGGCACAATTTTTAATGATTAAAATAAACATTTTAAACAAAGGCCTAATAATTTGAGGAGAAAACATTTTTTTTAATTTACTTTTGAAATACAAAGATCCATGAAGTGAAGTTAAAATGGCACATAGACTGGAAACTAAATCCAAGAATTTGCTTTTTGTGTCTCATTTGTTGCATCTGTACACAAACTAAAAAGTGTGAGTGAGTGTAGGAAGATGCACAAAATACACTTCTTCCATTAAAGTTTCTGTTTGTATACACAATACATTTGTGAGAGGTGTTAACAGATTTTTTTAACCCAGAAAAGAGCCAAGCTACAGTGTCTGTTTAGTCTCCAGTATTTAAGTTCTATCTTAATTTATAACACAGAGGCAAAAGCGTGGCGTCATCTAATCAAAAGAAAGCGTGCAACTGAGAATATTTTCCAGAGTGTTTGGCATTATTTTCTAATTACACAAGTGACTGATGAAAGAAAAACAAAATAAAGTGTCCCACCAAGGACAAGTGATGTTGTTGTGACAGCATTAATTGCTGGGACACTCACTGCAAAGGCCGTAAAGGCATTTTACTAGTCTGGTTTTGGGAAAAGTGTGAAGAGCTGATCTATATGGATGTGATGTCGAGTTTGAGTTCTGGTGAGTTCAGCTGAAAATCACATGGATGCTGCTTCTGATTAAAATGATGGTAAAGTAAATGGTGTGCATTGATCTGACACTAAATTGACAGTTTGCAGGAGAAGGAAAAGAAGCATTTTTAAAAGTTTGCAGGTGACGGGATGCCATTTCTAACTTCCCAGTTTTCCTGACTGAACTTTCATCCATTGGGTTGATATCTGCTAACTGTTAGTGCTGTCAAATCAGTCAGTGACCCATGGTGTAGATGTGGGCGCTGTCATCATGGAGGACTCCTATCCAGGCTGAAATGTTTCATCAGCCCCCTAAATGTTCTCTGCCAGCTCACAAAACAAGTTTTTTTTTGGTTTAATGTGTTTTTAATGGAGATACCTGCATTCATCATGATTCTCCATTCATTTATTCAGGTTTGAGTCATTAATGAGTCATCAAATCTCCATGGATGGCAAAATGTCATTAGAAAAGCTGCCTGGAGCTTCTCCAGCACTCTGAGCACGATGCACTGAAAGCTGGTGTTGACTCATTTGCTTGAACATAATTTTCTGAGTCAGATGTTTGATGTTAGAGGACACTGTAACTGTGGAACAAATATACCCAAAAGACCAATTAGAACTGGTTTGATAGACCTGGACACTGTGAAAAGCACTAATGTGGACTAAAAATAACAATAACAAAAAAAAACATATAGGAAACTGTTTCTTGTATTGGTTTTTCCTTCATTTGAAAGATATCAAATTTTCATTAATGGTTACTTATCACCACAGTAAAGCAAAGGCCTTTAAGGCAAAGAGTGCTGACATAATGTTTACCTGTGTGTTAAACAGGGAAGAGCATCCAAGTTTAAACTCTGAAGTGCATTAACTTAAGAAGAAATCCAATCAATAAAGCATGCTTTGATATGTTTAACAACTTTATTGACAAGGAAATGATCAACGATGCTGTTCCCCCTGAAGTGCATTATACAGAATGAGAGCAAGGTATGATGGGAGTCAATGCTGAGCCAACTGACCCTCCACCTGGAAAAGGCAGGGCAATTAAAAAAGCAAAGTTTCTGCTTAGGATGTGATGAATCGTCATTTGGCCTAATAACCAAAATGGATTCAGTTTATGAAAATAAGAAAAACAAACAGCTGAGCACTGCTGAGGGAAAAGCTGCTCGCTGCCAACCTCTACCCAGAAGCTTCACTTTTCACTAGAAATCCAGAGCGGCTGAAAGGTCTGCAGTCAGAGTGACCCACGATGCCCCTAAGCTGCAGCCAGCAACAATCAATAACCAACCTCAAAACATGTCAGCGAGCCCTTGATTTGTTTCTACTGTTTGAAGTCTGGACCTGCTGATCTAATCCTTCAGATGGATGTGAATCTTAAGCAACATTTGTCTTTGATCCATTATTTACCGGATTCTTGAGAGCGACTTATTGATAAACTCTTGGTTAAAATGGACTCAACAGTTTTACGCTGTGGCGCTCTGGATCAAGTTGTTCTTGAGTCCCTCACCTCAATTTTTAGGTCAAAATTGTTTCAAGAGCAAGAGGGATAATTTTTGTTTATCAGGAGCCTGAAGCTCATGAAACCTCTAAATGGGCACCATTTAGCTTAAAGACAGTGAAAGTGAGTCTCAAATCCAGAATATTTTTTAGTCTAGACTAAAAACTAAACACTTATGGCAGTTCTAGCAGTCTTGCAAGACTGCACTTTAGCATAGTGATGCTTTAAATATAAAATAAATAAATAAATAAATATATTGTCATCTTAGTTTTGCTCGGAGCCAATTTGCACTTTTTTGTGCAAAATAACTTCATCTCTGCATCACATCGTTCGCCCTCCTCATGGGACATAAAATGTCACAACATGGAATAACACTGAAATATGAGGATTCAGAAATAACAAACATATAAACATAAAAATGTCAAGTAGAGTCAAATGTTATGGCTATAGCATATTTAAAACAACCTCAGCTGACCAATGTGTTTTACAGGTGTAACAAAATATACATTATATGCAACAGTCACTAAATCAACATCGAATGTACACTAAAAATTCTCAAATAAACCAAAGTAAATAAGACTGTTTCCAAATTAAAGGTCAGGAATACAATGAAAGCAAGTCAGAATAAGTTTAAAAAAAAAAAGAAAAGAAAAAAAGTAAGGTTTTATTTGCTTTATTTATTTAGACAAGCTGAGCCAAGACAGTGACTGAGAAGGCGGATTTTAAAAGGCTAAAACTTGAGCTTTACTCACAAAATGTGGGTTCAAGGTTACAAAAACCAAGAAGATAAACAAAGCACAGAAAGAAGCCTGAGGCTGAAAAATACAAGAAAAAAAGTAAAAGTAAAACAAAGAAGCATGAATGACAATGAGGACAGTGAAGCCAGCATTTCTTCATCTAGCTTATCTGTCCTAAACTGGCTGACCTCAACATTAAAACAGTCTTTCACAATTTTGTCCATATCATTTCAGTTTAGCTCATGAGAAGCAGCCCTCCTCTGGTCTGAGCCTGATGTCAGGGTAAGATACTGAAACATTCCTGTTTTTGTATCGCTGCACTGATTTTTAGTTGTCTGACAGACAGAGTTCCTCAGATAACAGCGAGATTTATACATGAGTCTGACAAAAAAAATGGGGAAAAAAGTATTGTACAGCCCTCTGGTCAAATTTAGATCTCAACACTGAGTATTTGAGCTCCTGGTATTTGAAACTGGAGAATTTATATTTATGCTTTTCCTCCCGCATTCCTCTATATTTGTACATGTCCAGGAGATGATCTACTTCTAGGAATAAAATAGAGAAGACAGTCGATTTCAAAATGTTGCTCTAAAACAGTGCTGACTGGTGGGACGTGGGGCTACAACAGGTGGGAAACATAGGGAGTGAAATTAGTCCGAATGGATTTTTGTAGTTAGATTAAAGATGAGATTCTTGATGACATTTTCACCTCTATTTAAATAACTTTCATTTTAATCATTGTAATTTCAAGGTTTAAGTAAAGAAACAAACAAATGTTTTTATTTTTATTTTTTTGAATTCTGAAGTAGGTTAAGCCAGAAAAAGGAGAATATGCAGATTTTAGTTTGCAGATTTTAACAGTTTTACAACCAAAAACGGTCCTTTCAGGTCAGCCTTTCAGAAAAATGCTTGCATGAGCATGGAATTAGATGGACAAATATCGATTATCAGAAGTAAAATCTAAGAACACAGAAAGCCACCGCACTGTTCTAAATCCTGAATATCTTTGGATTTTATTGCCAGTCTGCAGCAGCATTTGCCAAGACGAAAACACAAGTGAAAATGAAATTAGGGCCCAGATTGCTTCAGTATTGATCCACCAGTGAAATTCAAACTGTGAGCATGTTCAATATTTACATGGATGCACTTTCCATGCACTTTAAAGGTGCCCCAGCTTAAGTGGGCTTTTCAGTGTCTTTCTGTGGTCTGAGGGCAGATAGTCTCTTCGGGAATTAAGACTCATATGAAAACCAGATAAGTCCAGTTTGGATTCTGTCCATATTTTAATGATGTCAGTTAATTTCCTGATGATTTGACAATCATTGTAATCAGGCTGCTAAATTTAACCTCCTAAGACCCGAACTCTTCCATGGCATTCATTT